CCCGTGCCTGCCTTCGTCCCTCCGAATCGCGCGCCTCGCTCGGAGGGAGGCGGCCTCCCGTTCGTGGCCATTGCTGCTACAGGGCAACTTTTGACTGATGAATCTGTGGATTCAACAAGCTGAACCCGCAGCTGCTTTCCATTCTCGGTGTCTCCTCTCTGCTTCCTTAAATTATGCTTTTTGATGGTTCGCTTTAGTGCTTCCCTTTTCCTGTGCTCAAACCGCAGGCTGCTTGCAGGGAGGACTGTCTTCTGGTGACATGCGTTCAGCAGCACACAGTTCCTTCTGTAGTAAAGCCTCTCTTTGTACAAAAGCAGAAGTTTTTCCAAGCCAAGGTAGCATTAAATGTCAATGTTTTCTAAAAAAAAAAAATAAATTTGATGCCACCATCCTTACATGTTGGGTGTGACAGAACGTTGCTTAACGTAGAAAACTTTGCACGTGACCCACTTATTTACAGTCAACAGTACATAGGAGATGAATAACATGTATTATGTGCATTAACCCCCAAATTAAGACTTTGTGTAATGTGATGTGTATGTTTTAACCAAATTTTGAACAATAACAGCAGGAAAAAATACATAGCAATTTAAGAATCTTGTATAGCTGGGGTGAGTTATTTCAGGATTAAGTCAATTAGTTGGTAGTAATCAAATATATAATTTGCAAGCCGTTTGATTCAGGTGGGCAAAAAGTCTTTAATAGTGACGAAACACAACAGCTTGAAACTGTCAGTCCTGTATAGTGGATCAGTGGCCTGCTTGGTTCAAAGCCTTTTAGAGTTAGTTAAAGTGATAGCACACATGGTACAGAAGAACGTTCAGATCCTGAATGGGACCCATACACCAAGCAGCATGTGAGCAGGAAACATTTTTATTCTCACTCTCTACTTTTGGTCTTGTTTTGTTTTGTAGTATGGTTTATGATATATTCATAACTGTGTTCTTAGTCCTCTGTTTTTCCTAGTCAAACTTCCAGCTTTTGGTACTGAGTTGTGCACAATCTGTCAGGTTTCTTAGGGGGTTTAGCATCAGGCACAGAAGCAGCTATTGCTGAGGGTAGAGGAGTGGATGGACTTTCAACCAGCCATTACATTTGACAGAGAGGTTTTGCAGTGTGAGGGGGTAGAGGAGGGCATTGCCATGGGCATGTAGTGACTTATTTCTAAATCTGGCCTTAGATAAAACCTCTCTAATGTTCGAGCTGGTAATTGTTTTCTGAGATTAAGCAGAATTGCTCCAGTACTTTTTTTTGAGATTAAGAAGTCAGAAGAGCCTCTAAAACATCAACTTTTCATATTATTTTTTTTTTTTAAATGATGTCTCATTTAAAATGTCTCTCTGAAGTTTCAGCCTCCTAAACATTTCCTGTTTTTGAAGTAATGATATAACAGTTTTTGCTTCTTTGGGGAGTAATTTAGCATGCAAACTGAAATGTATACGTCAAATTTCAGCCTTAAGCAAATCCCGACTGGCAAAACTTGTAAGAGGTGAAGGAAAATAGCTGCATTTTTGTAATGGAAATATCAGCTCAACCTCAACAGTTCGTGACATGGATATTTTAATGGATTTATTATTCAGTTGAGATTAGAGGCGGTATCTATAGTTACTTTGCACACAAAAGGGTTTTCTTTTGTCAAATGAGCAATAAGTTCAAAATATGCATTTCTTAAATTATGACTTAGGAGTCAAGTTCATTAAATGAAACATACAGTATATACCTTGGAGATTTATGTTGTTTGCTCTTTTTCTCTTAGGAAGCCTGACAAATTGGAAAATACTTCAAAGTGAAGAGAAAATTCACTTCACAAGAACTGAGCTCTGCTTTCGTTGGCTTTACATTTTTATTTGTATTAATAACTGATTAGTGTCAGATCATCTCCATAGTCTACCGTGGTGAAATTATTAGGTTAAAGCTGGAAAAAATGAAACAATTAAAAAGAAAAAGAAAAAGCAATTTTAGCGTTCAGGAAACTCAAACGCTCCTTAAGGAAATCAGGAAAAGGAGAGAAGTACTCTTCTCAAAGCAACTTAATACAACAATTAATGAGATGAAACGTAAAGCTTGGGAGGAAATAGCGGAGTGTGTAAATGCTGTAGGTGAAGGAGAGCAAAGAACAGGGACAGAAGTGAAAAGGCGATACCTTGACTGGAGAGCACTCATGAAGAGAAAACGTCTGAATGCAAACATCAAAGTAGTAGGTGCTGGGTTTCACCTTCCTTCATCCAACTTAGATGACTCTCTCAATGAAGACATGGATGAGAAAATGGGCTTTGCAATTGAATCTAGTTTTGAGTGGCAGAATATCACCGACTTCAGAGAAGCCGGTGGGTCTTTAACAGAAATCAAAGTAGAAGAGGAAGAGGAAGACCCGCAGAATTTCGAAGTGAGTGACTGACGTACATTAGCTTTATGCAATATGGCCTTGGTTTCAGTTCAGCATAAGGTTTTTGGCTGTGTTTTTTTCATAGCATCTGTTTCTGTTTTTCCTGAATGTGTGAATTAAAGACACTGTAGAAACAAATATGTTTCAGAGAGATGGTATTCGAATCTAACAGCTTCCAATAGTGTGTGAGGTCGTGGATGTTGATTATTAAATTTATATCCTTCAACTCTGAATGTGTATTTGCACATATGTTTTCCATTTGTATGTGCCATAGAGAAGAATTAGTTCAGTCAGTAGAATGAAGATATGCTGTTGAAGGAAACTGATTATTTTAATACTTGGGCTGGCTGGCTGCACCTCTTTAACAGAATGCACCTCTTTAACAAATGAAAGTATGCTACCTGCAGGTACAGAAAGGAACAGAATACCATTTGCATTTCTTAAAAAGAACCCACAGGAGAGGAAAATAGTACTTAAGTCAGTCAGCCATTCCTCTCTGTCAGAATTTTAGTATGAATTTGACAGGCAGCTGTGGATCCTGTAGGCAGGTTGTTACTCCTAGTAGTACCATTACTGTCCTGGAGTAGGCAGTCAGATGAAGTGGAGCTTCTGGATAGTTTTGTTGTGCCTGTACAAATACATAGTTTGAGTTTCAACAAAAGGTACTTAAACAGGTTTGGTTTGATGGTTGGGGTTTTTTTTGAGTGAGAGGGGAAAAAACTCCTCTCTAAACTTGTTAGAGGTCTGCTGGGGAAGAATCAGTGCAAGCTGTTCAATGGCAGTGAGACTGCTGTCTGACAGCTGCTGAAGAACATGGTCTGCTTTAATGCTGAAGGACTGGCAGTGGCTTTCATTGCCTTAAGATTTTCTGAACCCCTAACTGCCTCAGTTTGCCTTTCTTCTGCGGCATACTTGGTACAAGACTATTATCCCTTGCCTACTCTGAATTTGTAGCACCTAAGGGCTGTAGTTCTGCACAGATTGTTAGTCTGCCAAGAGCAATGGTCTAGTCTTCTGCATCATAAACAGCTTTACAGCAAAAGCGGTAATACAAAACTGGTTAAACGAGTCATGTTTATTGACTCACTGAATACATTTTGAAGCGTTAGGAACATGTGCAAAATGTCAGTGTTAAATGTTTTTTTTAGAAATGGAATCTTCTAGTTAGTGAAGGCTAGGTTAACTGACGTGCCATGTAGCCTATGGATCCACCTGCTCTGATAAATAATGAGTCACAACAAATTCCTGGTGACTTAGATAATTGTCACTTGGCAATATGAAAAGTAAGAACAACATGCTGTTTTAGCTCCAGCTTTCTATCAGTAGTTCTGAATGCTCTATATAGTATCTACATTCTTGCATGTCCACTGATGAGTTGATTTTCCATTTTTCATTACTAGATACTAGCTTGTAGATAAAATGTTTTTCTCTACCCCTGTAACGGTAGAAAAGAGTCTTCTGATCTAACATGGTTATTTTGCAGCATGCGATTTAAACAGTTTAGAGTAGCTTTTAAGATCAAGAAACCCACTATGCACTTTTCAGTCAAGTTGTGTGTAGCAGCTTTATTCTGGCGTAAAGGCTGAAATGTCATTATTGTCTTTCACATTCCTCTCTGTAGTTTCCTATTGAGGAAGAAGAAGAAATTTTGTCATCGGTTTTGCCGGATTCAAAGAAGGAAAACGACCTACCAGACTTCCCTCACATTGAGGAGTTTGGAAATCTAAGCTCTGCCCAAGCTAGGCTAGCCTACGAAGATTCTCACTTGCTTATGAATCTGGAGAAGCAGAAGGTGGAGCTGGAGAAGCAGCGACTAGACATTGAAGCTGAAAGGTTGCAGGTGGAGAAGGAGCGGCTGCAGATCGAAAAAGAGCGGCTGCGGCACGTGGACCTGGAGCGTGAGAGACTGCAGATCGAGAAGGAGCGACTGCAGATCGAGTGGGAGAAACTCAGGCTAGAGACTCTGCACGCTGAAAAACCTGCCCTGGAAAACGACCTCACCCAAACAGAAAAACCCGTCATACAGCCTCTGGATCTAGAAACTGAAAAGTTAAAACTTGAAAAAGAACGTTTGCAGCTGGAGAAGGAGAGGCTGCAGTTCCTCAAGTTCGAGTCGGAGAAGCTGCAGATTGAGAAGGAGCGCTTGCAAGTGGAGAAGGAGCGCCTTCGAATTCAGAGAGAGGGTCACTTGCAGTGAACTGCTCCACTGAGCGTCAGCATTAGTGTTTTGATGTTTGTAAAATAGAGGTAGTTCTTTTCTTAATACTGGAACTTAGAGGCTTAACATTTTTCTGTTCAGAGTTGATGTTAAACTGAAAAAGAAGAAAAAAAAAAAAAAGAATGGTGCTCAATATGTCAGTGTGCCTACATAAAAAAGCTTATGTGTGAAATTGCTCTTCAGTGTATCAGAACTAAGTGTTACGTTCTCTTGTCTTCAGTATTGTGTTGTATTAGTTCGTTGTCCTCTCATAGACACAATGAGAAGAATCAAGGCTGAAATTTGTACTTTTTTCACTGTGCTAAGAGTAAAGAAGGATCAGAATAAATCAACATATGTTGTGAGGGCACGGTGCTGACGATAGCCCACACAGTAAATAACTTAGACAGAACGCTGTAACACAGAGTCATGATGCGATTGATTCATTAAACATAATTTACCCTTTTTGGTTTTTTTTTCCCACTCCCCCAACTGGAAAAAGAGTCCAAGAATTATCTAAATGTTAACGTATAAATTAAATTCATTGCAGTTGCATTTATGGTTGAACTGAATGGGAGTGCAGAAAATATTCTTCCTTGTGCATGAAGTGCTCATACTGGGTAAGGTTAAACATCAACCAGACCTGCTACGATCTGGACTGCTGGTTGCACCAGGTCATTAATAATGTTACATGGAACATAGCACCTGTCTTGGTATAGCACATAGGGACTTACTGATTGATCAGATGTGGTTCAGATGAGTCTGTGATGCCCCTTGAAGTAAGCTGCTGGTTTGTTCCTTGGAAGGCGTTAGGTGGTAGTGGGAGTCCCATGACTGGAGACACAGAGGCTGAGCACAGACGAAGGAGCACTGAGCTTGAACACTAACACTCTTGTTACTTCTTCCTGGCTGGCACTGAGGTCCTGTCTATGAGGCAGCCAGAAGAGGCCTCTCTGGCTGACACCATATAGTGTGTTTGAATTAGACGAGTAGAAATGGTTGGTGCTGAAGGCTGTCAGTATTTTTCATAAGCAATTAATTTGAAATGGTAACAAACAAGACATCTCTCTATTATTGCCTAGATGTTTAAATCCCCACTGAGCCAGACTTCACATTTCTCATACTTCTGCAAGTAACTGTTTTTTGTGGACTTAATTTGAAATTTAGGACTGTGAGAATACTAAATCTGAGTATATGTTGAGTGACTTACATGGATTCTTGTGCAAGTAAGTATATTTATACCACTACAGGATTACTTTTATTCTGCAAAGAAAATGTTATTTTTTTATTACTGAAACAAGTGTGCTTCTACAGTGGAAATAAATTTGACTACTACAATCGAAAATTGCTCTGTGTTTCTTCACAGTGCAACAAGAGAATTTCTTCAACAACAACATTTCCCTA